GTAGGCCAGCTTCAAGCAATTCAAAAAGCAGCCCTGGAGTCAACTGGCCGATGTTGACCTGTAGACCGTTGTGGTCTGTCCAGAGGATCGGATCTGGTGCATCCCATCCTGCACGGCAAGCTGCGAGCCTCGCTCTCGAGAGGGGCCCTTTGCTCGCATGCCAGGATCGGGGACTGCTAGCCTTGGCTTCTCGCCACATCCTGCACAGCTCATTCGTGGAGGCGAGCGCTCGGTCGGCGTTAGACTGAGCGAGCCACAACATGCGACACCACTGCAACGCGGGAGCTAACGCCGACCTCGCACTCTCATCTCCAAAAAGGACCGTTTTTGCACTTAAACTTGTTCCTCCATGTTGGGGGGAGTGCACTCGGCTTTGAAGCCTTCGAAAGTTAAACCACTCGAGATTGTTTAGGCCCAGGACCTCAGTGCCGAAGGCAGCACCCGTGGAAACACCAGTCTTCAAAACACGCTGAAAAGACTTCCTGGTGCACCCAGCTACAGTGCGTGCCAGTCGTTTGTGCTTCCTGAGCCTTAAACGCATCTTGGAAAATCGTGCTCTCTGCTTATCTCTGGCACGTGGCCTCGTGCGCTGAGAGGCTCCAGACTGATCTACCCCAAGATAGGCAACACTCGTTAGTGCCGCCTCACGAGGGAAACGTAACTCCTTGCAGACCTCTCTGGCTAGGTCTTCTGTACTGGATATGACCGCTATCTTGTCATTCAGCTGGGCCTTGAGCTCTTGCACACACTGTTGAAATCTCTGCCTGCTGCAACAGCCATTGACTTGGCTATCTGCCTGTCACTACTAGCTACTCCGATGGCGCTGTCGTCTATATAGCTGAGAAAATCAATGCAAGGCTGCCTAACTAGTAGAGAATCAAATTCCTGAACCGCATGTATCTTGATCGAAATGTCATTAAAAACATCTCCCGCGGGCAGCCCTCCTTCTGCGAAGAGCACGCTCTGGGCATGGTGCTGACCTAGCCTCAGGAGTCGTGGTCCCTTCCAGACGTTATAAACCAGTTTCAGGAAACTAAGTGGCACATTGAACCTCAAAAACTTGTCCCTGAGAGCTTCTAGGGGAATCGTCTCGTAATACTTGGAAAAATCAGCCACAATTAAAACGCTGTGTTTATTCTGCTCGGCATCGCTCTCGCTGCGCGCTGCCTGGAGCCAAGCGCAATCCACTGCTGACCGTCCCTTCGACGCCCCCCAGTAACGACGATCGACCAGACGACTAACTTCAGTCAGCAGTGGGCGCCTTAGTCTTTGCCAGACTCGGTACATTCCAGCATACAGCACGATGAGACGGTTTCCCCCCTTGGGTTTCGGGAGCATAGGTTGAACAACCCATAAAAGCTGACGAGGGAGCAGCCCGATGGCCTCGCAGGCCTGCCACAAAGCACTTAAAACCTCGAGTCCTGAATCATCCAGGGCCAAAACGAAACGCGGGTGAAAGTGGTCGAGACTGCTGGAGGTGCTGCGCGAAAAAGTGCGTCCTACCTCACGGATCGCTGTAACAGAAACTCGTTCACAAGACGACCGATCAGGGATCCACGCCCGAGGAGCCTCCGACGTCGCACCCCAGAGTTTCTTATACAGCGATACCTCGTTTTGCACAATACTGATGGTGTCCGCGGAAGGTCCATTCGGTCCTTGCACTATCGTAGCCGCTCGGACCTGGCGGACAGCAGTGATCTTATGAAAGCCTCGCGACCCTGCAGCTCGTGCTGCCACGCACCAGTCGTGCCACGAGTCTCTCTGCTCTTTGCTTTCTCCTTTAGCGGCAAGCTCTACGTCTGAGTCTATGTCATCTAAAAAACTTTGCAGCGCCTCTGGGTCTATCTCTTCAGCATTGACTAAACCTCTCGCAACCTGAACGGACCTCTCTAGTCGAGCACTCAATCCCAGGCCTGGGAACTCGTCGACTAAAAAGCTTGAGACCTCTTGTGCAAGCATCATCTGATTTTGGGCCGTGTCGGCCACGCGGGAAAAAACAAGGACCTGACCAACAGCATTTTGGAGCCACTTCCAGCCGTCAGCGACAGCTTGCAAATCACTGGAGGTCTTGGCCGTGCAGCAAACTTCGACCCAACGCGCTTTTAAACATCGCCCAAATGCCCCTGGATTCTTTAAAGGCTGCCCTGCCCTCTCCCCAAGGTACCTGGCCGCTGTGGTGGCGAAACGACCCCAAGCATTCGAAAGCATGGCCCAGGCCTCACTCGGAGCAACCGCGGGATCCGAAGCGGCCTCACAGGCTTTCTCGGCTAAACGCTGCTCGACGAACCAAGTGGGTGGTTGAGGGGCAGGGCCTATCGGGAACTCTTTGGGCAGCGCTGGGGTGACTGAATACACGAGATGCTTGAGCTTATACCCGTTGTCAGAGATGGCAAGACGGATAGGCCGATGTGGCTTAACCGTCCAGCGCATATCAACTGTTAGCTTCTTAAATCCCCTCATTAGCGTATCATTCAAACAGTAAAAATCAATGATGCTGGAACCTGTCCCTCCTCGACACGTAGGCACCGCAGGCGCCAGCACACACAAATCCGCCAGGACGGGGAACTCAGACGCCTCCAACGCTTCAGGGGTCAGGTTCCAGTCGCCTGCACAGAGCGCAGGTCCTGATATCGTTTGCATCATTCTGCCTAGCTCAGCTAGGATGTTGGCATTAGGCCCACTGGGGCCTACCTGCGGGTGGAGGTAGATGTTGAACACCGTGATGGAGGGCCAGCCTGGTAGATCGACCTCGACTCGTTGTAGTCGGCCTGGAAAAAGACACTCGACTCCAGCTGCAGGTGGTCGCAGCCCGACTCCTGTCCGCACAAATACTGCAACACCAGCTCCAGTGTTGTGACCAGCCGTAGTCTTCGACGAAAGAGCTCGCATTGACCAGCCTCGCGTAGCACACCAGGAGTCAAGAGCTTCAAGATCCGCTTCGAGATGTCCAATCTCTTGCATCAAAATCACTTTCGCCGAACTCTTCTCGAGCCTCTTCTTCACTGTTCGTTTGCCGCCATTGGCGTTGAACGATTCGAACTCATGGTACGTGTCGTTGTGTTCTGCATCTGCTGCAGGAACTGTCCCATGATGCGATACCTTGAAACCACTCACTCGGGGAATATCAAACTTGGGATCGCGCGCTTGCGGATCCGCATCACCATTGACTTTGCACTCCGATTTCATCGTACTCGAGGATGCCAATGCCGTAGAGCTTGTGGCCCTCGTAGCAGAAGACGAACAGGTGGGCCTTCCCTCCAGCGATTCCCTAGGCTGGGTTCCCTCTCCTCGCCCACTGCAAGCCTTGACCTGCAGCTGCGTTGGGGGTGCCGTCCAGCCTAGAGTCTCAGCTTTCTCAGGGTCAGGCCGCAACGTGGAAGACGGGGATGCCGTAGCACTGCTGGACGCCGAAGTCGAACTCCTGCCCGACAGACTCCATAGCCATCTCCTCAAGCAGCAATCGTTAGGAACTGGAACTGACCTTTGCACGCTTGACGGAGAACTCAGCAAGCTTTTGTCGAAACTGCTCTTTGTCTCCTGCCAGTGAGAACAATATCTCGTGCTCGGGCTCGGTGAGATCCTCGTACATACGCTTCTCCCCTGCAGCTTGCCCGTCATCACCTGGCTCATCTGTAGCTGCATTCTCAGAAGACTTAATATCATCACCATCAGCATCAATATCCATCTTTGCTGGCAACTTAGAGGCCCTCTGCGTGAGTAGATTCTGGAGCAACTTCCATTCTGGGCTCTCGAGGAAGGGGATGAGTTCTTTGGGAACCTCATCTGGCTCTGATCCGAAATCGAAGAGCTGCGACAAATCAGGCGTCTTCTTTGCATCATCGGTCGAGGTCGTGACATGCTTAGCCGTCTCAGCAAACTCAACCTCCAGCGCTTCCACTTCCTTTTGCTTCGCCGCAATCTCATCCTGTCTTTTTGCAATCGACTCACGTATTCCTTCCAACTGCTTATGCTTCTCACTGAGCTCATCTTGCATTTTCTGCAACGCGGTGCGTGCCCGACTGAGGTCTTGCGCTGCCCGTCTGTGTGCAGTAGTCGGGGAACGTAGCTGCTTGTGCTGGCTGCGCAGAACCTTGAGCCGCTCCTCAATCGGGGATTTGATACTGTCATTGCCATCGCTGCACCTGAGTCTCTTGAGCACATCTTCCAACTCGTAGATCTCTTGCATGATGGCGTCACGCTTGGCACTGTGGTCCATCTTGTCCTCAGACTGTGTATCTGTGCCACCTGCAGGCCCCGCCGCATGCCATGGCGGCTTGCCTCCTGTGCCTGAGGACTTGGGCTTGGGTGCTGCACCCGGCGCCACTGTCGTGGTTCCTGCCTGCACAGCCTTGAGCACCTGCGCCAGCTGACTCTCGAGCCGCTGGAGCTTGCCGTTGTCAACACCGCCGTCGCTGCCTTTGCCCTTTGACCCGTTACCTTTGCCTTTGGACTTAGCAGCTGGGGGTCCGTTTTTCTCCCAAGCTGCTGCATTCTCTTTCGCACGCTGAACGATCCTTGACGGGGCGGGATTGCCGCACTGGCACACCACTCGACACGCCCAATTGTGGGCCGCTCCACATCGGCCGCACCCCCAGACAGGGTACTTGGGTCCCGAGAGGACTGATTCCTGCCTTGCAGGCGGTACCATGGGCCGGTCGTAATGATGAACACAGCGGGGCTGGGCCGTGCGGGGCGGACCGCACGGCGCTCTGCCTGGGGCGAACCAGGCGAAAGACGAAAGCTGGCCGCGGACTAGCGGTATCCACTTTGTTCCCAGGGGAAACCAAAACCTTGAGCCAAAATGGCTACGGTGAGGTGGAGCAGGAGGAGGAGGGAGACGGAGAGGGGGGGGCGGGAGGAGGGAAGGCGAGCAGCAGGATGCCGGGGAGGGGAGGGGGGGGGAGGGGAGCAGCAGCAGCAGCAGCAGTATCGGCAGGGGCTGCGGGCAGCGAGGGGGGGGGCGCGGGGAGGGACCAGGGCCCCCTCGCGGCCCGGGCGAGACGCGCTGAACGCCCTGCAGCACGCGGGGTCCCCCGTGGGCTGCTCCGAGCCGCTGGCGCACTTCTGCGGCCCCGCCGCCCAGCCGCGCTTCGGGGGGGGGGGGGGGGGGGGGGGCACCCCTCGCTCCATCCTCTCTCCGTCCTCCTCCCTCCGTCCGCCCCCTCCCTCCATCCTCCATCCATCCAGCCCCCCGCCTGCCTCCCTCCCTCCCCTCCCTCCCCCCTCCTGCTCCTCCTGCTCCTGCTCCTCCCCCTCCTCCTTCTCCTCCTCCGCCTCCTCCTCCTTCTCTTCATGCGGCATCTCCCTCTGCCCCTCCTCCTCCGTGCCCTCCCTCCCTCCTCTCACCCCCCTTTCTCCCTCCGCTCCACCACCTAATTGCGCTAAGCCTGTTCATCTTCGACACGCCCTCTTTCTGCTACTGCTGCTTCTCCCTTTTCTTCCTTCCTCCTCCGTTCTACACCATGGGGGGTGCGTGTTCGAAGTGTCCACACATGCATGGTGCGCCAGTGGCGGAGAGAACAACGAGAGGCGTCACGACAACGCAGGCAAGACAGCGAGGAAGTGGCAGCCAGCAGCAACCCTGGGCGTACTGATGGAGTGGGGATCGTGTGGGCAGCGTCCCTCTCCAGCCATACGTCTCCAGCGGGCGGAGGGGCACGTCATGGGGACACACCGCTGGCTGCGCAGACCCTGCATTCAGGCACAGGCGCTGACGGTCCCCGATCCGCACCACGCACGACGAGAGCGACGGAGAGCCAGCGCAACCAGAACGCGCGAACCTGACCTCAAGTCGGGCAGTTCAAGAATGGTTGAACAATTGTTTGGTGACGATTTGCCGTGTTGTTTATTATTGTTTATGTTTGACTGTAGGAGGAGATGCCCGACCTAAGCCTAGCCTCAGGGATGTTCTGGAAGCAAGGGTGGCTGGCGCTCGCACGAGGCACGTGGAATAGGTAACCCGGAGTGCCAGTCCAGATAGCCGAGCCCGGGCCCGCAGAGCCCAGCGCCAACCTGAGTGCCTCATGCGTGCAGGCGTTGTCAAAGTCTAGGTCCGAGGTTTAAGTCGGGCATGTCCCTCTACAGGAGAAATATATATATATATATATATGCAAAAACAGCCAGGAATAGTCTGGGAACGATCTTTCGTGCTCCTCCGACTGCGTTTAACTGTTTTCGTTTATCTATATTTTTCCATTGTCAGCTGGAGGACATGCCCGACCGAAGTCTAGCTGCCTCCACCTGGATGGCGACCTCGCAGAGCACCCCCGAGCAGCACCGTGCTGTCGCATCGCGCTTCCTTCTGAAAGTCAGGGAGGGGGCGGGGCTCCCAGGAAGTGCAGATGGGGATCGGCAACGGGTTCCAACCTCAGCCCTGCCACGTGATATCAGATCGGCCAAGAATGCGTAATTTGTCACCCTGGCGACGACGACGAAGACGGCAACGACGACGTCGAGTCAAACAGAACAGCTTCGCCCACACGCCGACATGGTCGGCGGGTTTTCTTCCTCTGCATACTCAGTGATCAAGCCTCCGCCTTGTCCCCATCATCTTCCACATAGTTTCTCTATCCTCCCTCCTCCGCGATGCGTTCTTCTCCTGATCATCCCATTTCCTCTCTTCGTTATGTTCCCACCGGCTGCGGCACGTGACCTTTGCCACCGCGTGCCTGGGCACAGCACGATATATGAGGTTCCTCCCCCGTCCCCTATCTGATGACCCAACTCGTGGAATCCAGCTTGACGGCGGCCTTGATCTCGCTGTCGTAGGGGGGGAGGGTTCGGTAGCAAATCATGAGAACTTGGTATACACTGTTAATTCCGTCTTTAGCGTCGACTGGCGTCGCGTCTGGGAGTCAATGAGGTAGCGCCGTTTTAACGTCAATTAGCGTCGATTTAGCGTAGGTTAGCGTCGACTAGAGTCGATTAGCGTCGATCCGCAAGAGCCGACAACATGATATGGGATGCTCCCATGAATTGCCACCGAAGGAGGTTGTGCTGCAAGTGGCTCGACGTCCTGGTCGGAGTTGCGGGCAGGTCGCAGCGGGGGTGATCGGGTCGGAAGCGGTTAAAGGCGGCGTCAGAGGAGTCGTGGAGGGGCAAGGCGACCTGTTCTCTTCATCTTCCTCCTTTGCTGGCTGATCCTCCCTCCTCACTCCACTATCCCTTCTCCCTCCCTGCCTCATTCACTATCCCTTGCTTCTCATTCCTCACTCCTCCTACCTCTGCCCCCTCCCTCCAACGTAAGTTCTCCCCCCCCCCCTCACGTCCTTCATCCCTCCTCCCCTTTTCCCTACCTCTTTCACCTCTTCCCTCTTCCCTCCCTCTTCTCCTTATCCGCCTCCTCCTCCTCCTCCTTGAATCCTTCTCTTCCTTCTCCGCATCATCATCAGCAGCATTAGCACCAGCATCACCATCAACATCAGCAGCAGCATCAGTATCAGCATCAGCACCAACATCATCATCATCATCATCATCATCATCATCATCATCAACATCATCACCATCATCATCCGTAGCCATTTTTGCTCAAGGACGAAACGTTTGTCCCTGGTGTTTCGACCTTGTCAGGCCCCCCCCCCTCTCCGCTCGGATCACCAAAGCCCAGGGTTGCGTGGCCATGGCTCCCTCGGCCACCGATGCTGCGATCAAGGAGTTGACCGTTCAGGTGGCTAAGATGAATGAAGCCCTCACCGTGGGCTCGACCTAGGTTAGTGAACTTTCTTCCATCGCTGTTGCCATGCAGACGGGTATGGAACAGCAAGAGGAGAACAGTGCGAACACCGGGGCTGAGATTCAAAAATTCCGGAGCAGAACATGTTTAGTATCGGTCCTCCGTCTTCTTCATTTTCCGAGGGCCCGCTCAAGAAGTTCCGTGGGTCGCCTTCCTCCCGTGGTGGAAATTCAGATCTCCTGTCCACGGCCATCGCGGCTGGGATAGGGGAAAAGTTCACTCGGAAGGTCTTTCTTGATGCTGGTGTTGCCATTATCTCTGCTCGTGTTGATGAAGACGCGAAGCAGGCCATGGATTTCGCATTCCAGAACTTGTCGGATAACGTCATTCTGGCGTTCCCCTCGGCTGATGCGGCAGAGCGCAGCGCGATGACGTTTCGGAAGCACCTCCCCGACGGTTTTGAGTTCCAGACCCCGAAGGGCCCCAAGACGCTCCGTTTGAAGCCTCTCCGCGATGCTGAGACGAATGAGCAGTTGACTGTCCTGGGTCAGATTCGTGGTGAGCTCGAGGAAGTGGTGAAGTCGTCTCCCTCTCTGAAGGGCTGGTCTATCGATTCTTCGGTCAGCAGCAACGGTTTCATCTTCGCGTCGTATGCAGTATTATCGGGGGACGCGGCGAAGCTCTATCACGTCTCCAAGGCTGCCCCCCCATAGAACCCGCCTCGTGCGATCGCTGTCGCGTGCTGGTGGATAAGGTGATGGGCCAGTTGAGCCTGTGACAGCTCTGCGTCTCCTACATGTGAGGACGCCCCGCCCGGGGCTGGGCGGCTCGCGCAGCGCATCACCTCGCCCCTGCGCGCGGGCCAACCTAGCGAGGCACAGTTCGTTCTCGGGGCGGCCGGAGCGGCGCAGTTTCCCTTTTTTCCTGCCGAGGAAACCTCTATCAGTCGCCGCGTGGAATGCGAGAGGGTTGTTTGAAAGCGGTAACAGTATGAATGATCGGGCTTGGTCTCGGTGGCGCATATTTTCGGGGCTGCTAAAAAGGCGCCTGCTTGCGTGTGTCCAAGGGTCTCATAGGCGCTCTGGGGGTGCGGTCGATTTCGAGAAGGAGCTTCCTTCAGGTGGGTTCTGCGAGGGATCGTCTCTTTCCACGTGCCGGATGTCCAACCGTGGATTGGGTGACTATCGTCATTGCCTCTCTGTTGTTCGCTCCGCTCCACCTCCGCGCTCAGCTGCCTCTCACGTCCTGCTTGGGGGCTTCAATGTTGTTCTTAGCGAGGAGGGCCCATTCCATCTTCAGACGGGGGCTGCCAGTCGGGGGGCCCTGCCTTCTCTCGAGAGTGGAACGAGTATTTTGGAGGCCGGACGGAACTGCATCAGCCTTGGGATATGCGACGTGCTTGCTCTTGTCCGAAGATAGTCTCTACCGCTCGTCTCGACCGGTTCTATGTTGCTATTCCGTCTGCTGTGCTCGTGGATATTGTGGCCGCTGGTTCGACGATGAGCATGTTTACTAACTTGCCGAATCCCTTTGGTCACGTTCCTGTTGCGGTTGCCATCTCATCGAAATCGCGGCTACTGGATGGCCCCCCTCCCATTCTTTCCTGGGTTCTGTCGACGTTTGAATTGCAGGGGGTTCTGGGCGATCGTCTGCAGGGGATTGATCCGGGGCTCCCAGTTTCGATTCGATTTCTCGCGCGAAAGACGCCGCGCGCGAAGCGCGCGCCGAATCTCGGAAAGTTCTGCGGCGTCGGGGAGCCGAGTCTCCTCGTGAGTTTCTTCGCTGGCGCATCGCGGCTCTCCGTTCTTTGCGCGCTGGCGCGCGGTGTCTGGTGGCGCGCGCCGCCCGCGCCTAACCCCGGCCTTTAATTGTCTTCTTTGACGTCGAGGCTGGCGCATTCCAGAACCCCGCGGGGCTACACGCGCACATTGTCGCACTGAATCACCAGCTTGGATGCCGAAGAGGATGCCGCGCAGCAAGCGAACGTCCTTCCCGAGCACGAAGCCGCGCGCAGACGAGCGCGCATCATGCGCAACCTTGAGCGCAGCCCGTGAATATGTCTGGACGCATTGGGGCTGTTCCTCTCGAGGATCCTCGCGTTCCGTGCTCGTCGGCGCAGCGTGCTGGCAACGAACTCGCTTGTTTCTGCGGCGGCGCGCATGCTGCGCGCTTGCCCGGCCACGCGCTCTGGAGCACCTTTCGCCGGTGCGCTCGTCGCGTCGACGCGTTGCCCCCCAACGCGGACCGGGCCCTCTCTCGCGCAGGTTTTGCCGAACTTATGAAGCGCACTAGGGGGTCAACGCCTGGCGTGGATGGTCGGCAGTGCAGTTGTTGGAAGCCTGCAGGTGATCAGGAGGCGTTGCGTGATTTCCACTGCCAGCGCATTTCTCATCCTGACGAGCCCCCACCGCCCGACTTTCACGAGGTGCTTGTGGTCTTCCCAGCGAAGGGCGATCATTCCATTGATGCGCCTGCTGTTCCAGATCGTACGCCGTCCTCTACGCGTCCGCTTTCCATGCGATGCACTGCTTGCACGCCGATCGCGGCTGCCGTCGCTCACCCTCTCACCAGAGTCGGTGCGCCGCCGGTTCGTAAGCTGCAGTCTGGGGGGAGGCCCGGGGAGATTGATTTTGGGCAATCTCACCCGCTGCAAACCCGATAAGGGGTCACGGCCCATCTGGAGGGATAAGAGGGCCCGGCCCAGCTCATTACCGACTCAAAGCTGCGTTCCCAAGTCTTTTCGTGGAGTGGGCTTTGCGTGTCCTCGGGGATGGGCATTCCTGCTTGGGCGGTGAAGTTCTTCAGAAGCCTCTCTGCTGACAATGCGGCGATGGGTCCATTTCTGTGGCGTCTCCCTGGCGCCCTTCCGCGCGGGTCGCGGGGTCCGACGGGGGCGCCCTGCCTCCGTGTCCCTGTTTGCCCTCGCCCTGGGCCCTGCGCGCAGGTGGCTTCTCGAGACAGGCCCCCCGGGGCTCGGGCGCTCAGGCTACGCCGGCGGCCGAAGGTCTGTTTTGAGAACGCGTTTACCTATCTGCCCCCACCTTTGATAATATTTGCCTCCTCCCGGCGGCGGTCGGGCTCGAACTTCCCCCGGGGAATGCGTTGCGCGGGCGGGGGGCTCTCGGGGCCTGCGAGACTATGCGAACTGCCTGGCGTCTTCGGGGCGGGGCCGCGAACGTTTCCAGGTTGTTCGGCGGCGCCGCTATCTTGGAGTTCCCGTTGGTCCTGAGGCGCATCTCCACAGTTTCCCCATTCAATTTAAGTCCACTTGTTCTGTGCCCGTAGGACTCGCGGAGTGGAAGTGGCGTTGGCAGGATCGGTTGTTGCCTACAATGCGCGGGCCGCAACCGCTCGCAGCTATGCGGCTGGGTTTCACGGCCCTGCTCCTCGTGTCCTCCAGCTAGAAGATCGCGCGCGGCAACTTATTCATGTGGGCCAGCGTTGCGGCTCCAGTGGCAAAATGACATGCTTTCTAGACGGCGCCGGTTGCGACGCGCTCTGTCTTTCGATTGCCTTCGTTGCCGGAGACTTTGTGTTTCGAGCGGCCATGGGTCCTAGTGCCTGGGGCGAGTGCGTGGAAGCGTTGGCGGAGATTCGCAGCTCCTCGAATGGCCTGATCCCCGCCAGTTTAGCCTCTGGGTGGTTTTCAGATTCGTTTCTCTTGTATATGGCTGATGCGGTGGCGGACCCCCCCCCGATGCCAGCTACTTTTGACCGTGGCCCGGCGTTGGTGACTCTAGCGAGGTCAGTCAGATATTTGCGCGACGCTGCTATGCCTGGGGTGACGATTGGAGAAGTTCCCGGAAGAGCGCTGCATTTGCTCCCTCTCCCGCTCGACAGTGCTCCATGGTTTCCGATGTTTCAGGCTCGGCTGAAAAGAGTTCGCTGTTTCGTTATTTTGTTTCTAATGTTTGCCGCCTTGCGGGTCTTTTGCCGTGGGGTTGGGACCTCTGGGAGGTGCCGCGCTGGTCCGAAACCATGCCTTTTTGGATGTCGCCACGGCTGTTATGGCCAGCGTCACTATGTCCAGCGTCCTCGTGTCCTCTCTCTCTTCTCGTTCTGGGGTTTGCTTGTCTTTCCTCTCAGTGTTGCTTCTCCTTTTCATGTTCTGCGTTGCGTCGACGGATGCGCGCCCGATGTCAAACGCGATGTCGCCGTCTGCTTCCTGGTCCACAGTTTTGTTCACACGCACTCGCAATTCCGTCGTCGGGCTGCTCTCGGCAGTGCGTCGGAATCCGGGTCGCTGTTCACCACGTCCGCAACTCTGGCGGCTAGTTGCCTGTAGTTTTAATTGTTTTCTTTTTCGAAAAGCGGTCCTGTGGTCCGCCTCCTCCCTTCTCTGCTCGGTCCGTGGGCCGCCCTTCCCTCGTTGGCCCTGGGGTTGCTCTTTTTTCGGTCCCCGGCTGTTTTGGCCGCTGCCGCTTGCTCTCTCTGGGGCTTTCGGTGCTGCCGCATCTCCAGGAGCTGCAATTCGATGGGGCCCGCGCCGCCCGCCGCCCGCCCTGCTCTCTTGCTTGAGACCGCCGACAGTCGAATGAGTTTGAGCTCCGCTCTGGGTCGCGGTGGAGCTCGGGCCCCGTTGCCGACTGGGGATGGCGGTCCTGCGCCCTCCAGCGCAGCTCAGCTGAGAAGCTGGGCCATCCCTTGTCGGCTCGTCGCTATCAGCGCTGCCTGCGGCCGCGCGCGAGGTCGGGGCGAGTTAAATACACCTTGCCCGCCCGTCGCCGCCGCGCGTCCTCTCCAGCCGCCTCGAGACTGCTTGGGTGACTTGCTCAGTTGCGAGTTGTGACCTTGATCGATCGACCGGCCCTCCCCTCCGCCCTCCTTCCCCGCGGCTGCTTGCCCTCTGTCTCCCTTGGCGCCCGCCCTTTTGCGGCGGTTCGGCTTCTGTGGCGCCAGCGGCATTGAACTGGATTCGCATCGGATTAGATTTAACTCGTGTCTGGCTGCGCTCTCTGGCTGGCATCGGACTTGTTTCGGCCACTCGCATTGGTTGCCATCGGTCATTGCCATTGCTGCGTCGGGGGGGGGCAATCACAATCACCCTCATCATCCTCATCATCAGCATCATCATCATCGTCCTCAGTGCCATTATCAGCGTTGTCGCCGTCATCACCGTGACCCTGAACATCATCACCGGCATCAGCAACATCATCATCGCCACCGTCATCATCATAATCAGTGGCATGACCATCATCGTCAGCATCATCAACATCAGTATCAAAATCCTTATCATCATCACCGCCATCGTCATCATCATGTTCATCATCAGCATCATCACCATCATGAACATCAGCATCCTCATCATCATCATCATCAGCATCATCATCATCATCATCATCATCATCATCATCATCATCATCATCATCATCATCATCATCATCATCATCATCATCATCCCCCCTTCCCTTTTCAGCCTCCGTGGTGGCGCGCGGGAAATGTCCGGCCTCCCTCCGCGTATTGTTGTTTTACACGCGGGACTCCCGGTAGTTGCGTTGTCGTTTTTTCTCTCGCTGAAGCGCTGGCTTCACTTTCGGGTCGAATCGTGCCCCCGGTGCAGCTCTGGCCTCATTTCCGCGCTTCCGCTCGTCCCGAATCGTGCTCCCATTGCAGCGCTTGCGTCATTATTTCCAGTACCACGCCGCGGCATTATTTTTGTTTTCCTGGCCCTTTCCAAATCGGCTTCCAAATTTAGGAAACGGGCCCCCGAAAAAAAACTAGCAGAAGTGATTCCACATTCGGCGTCGAGTCGTCGTTTGTTTGGGCCGCGGAAGCCCCCCCATTTTGGGGCGCCGCCACGCCATGCTACGTCAAGCTACGCGTCTTCATTTCCACGTTTCCGCGCTCGGGTTGTTGTTTGAACTGCTGCTCTCGCTGAAGTGCTGGCCTCATTTTCGGACTACCGCTCGTTCCGAATCGTGTTCCCGGTGCAGCGGGGCCTCATTTCCGCGCTTCGTTCGTCCCGAGTCGTGCTTCTGCTGCAGTTTTGGCGTCGTTATTTCCAGTGCCATGCCGCAGCATGGTTTTCGGTACTTCCAAATCGGCTTCCAAATTTAGAAAACGGGCCCCCGAAACAACTATCGGAAGTGATTCCACATTCGGTGTCGATTCGTCGATTTTTTGGGCCGCGCGAGCCCCCCCCATTTTGGGGCGTCGCAGTGTCATGTTATGTCATGCTGCGCGTTGTTTTCCAACACCATGCGCTGCCATGTAGTGATATGCCATGTTGCGACATCCGGTTGTGCGAATCGAGAGGATATCTACACCATGGTAAGGACAGGGAGGGAAGAATCGGACGTCACATGTGACGCGAAAGCGCCTAGCTCGCCTCTGTCCCCTCCCTCCGTCCCGCCTCCCTCCTCTCCCGTCTCCATCTCCAGTCCCCAAAATGAGAGAGAGGGGGGGGGGGCGCAAACGCGAGGCCAACAGGTGCTCACCATGCGCTTCATCGAAGGCGCCGCGGCATGCGCCCCGCTGGAAGCTCCTTGGTGCGCCGAGAGGAGGGGGGGAGTGGTCGGGCGGGAGTGGGAGCAGATGGGGCGCGGGCGTGGGAAGCGAGGGGCTGTCGGTGGATGCGTGCGTGGGGGTGGTGGAGGGGGGCAAAGAAGGGGGGGGAGGCAAAGGGAAGCGGAGGGAGGGTTGGATGGGGGGCGGCAGAAGGAAGGCTGGCTGGGGTGGCCCATTGGGCGCCATTCGCATCCTCGGGCATGGATGCTTTTAGTGGGCCTGACCGGGCAGGAGGAAACCTCCCGCGACGGAGCATCCCCACACCGACCACTGTGCCTCCAGGCGGGCAGGTCCATGGCCACCTCTGGTGCATGGAAAGCCCGCGATGGAGGGGACAGCGACCGTCAGGGGTGGGATGGGCCGGCAGAGAGCCCGGATCTCCGGGCGATAGGGAGGGCAGCGTGAGGGGAGGGAAGGTGTGCGGCCCGGAATGAGGGAAGAAGGGGAGGGGGAGGAAAAGAAGAGGAGCGTGGACTTCATACAGTCAGGTCGTGCGTTTCAGTCCGCACGTGCTGTAGCCCAGTAGTGTTTCCATGCCAGTAGCCGGGGGGAATGTTTGAGGCGTTCTGTCGGGCCAAGGTGGTGCAACCCGTCTACGCCGTAGAGCCAGGCCGCAGCCTGAGTTTTGAGACGCCAGGTGCACAGACAGATTCCCCCCAGAGACGCGGGGCGCAGCAGGGGGGCCCAGCGGGGGGGCGGCGGAGGGGAGAGGAAGGAAGGAACGCGCAAGGCGCCAGGAGGCCACAGGGTGCAGTCTCAGTCTGCTCGGGCACGTGAGGCCACATTGTCGCTGCCTCAGTTTCGGCGGAAAGCAGGGTTGAGGAGGCAGGGGAGGAGGGGGAGGGAGGAGAGACCAGTGTAAACCCAAGAGTCATCAACGATGTTGGAATAAACCCTCCCTCCAAGCTCCCGCTTCATAAGCCCCTACAACGGTTCATTTCCATGGAGGGAACTGCCTCGTTGGAACACAACCGTTTGAAGACCCTGAAGCATGCCAAAACATTGTTCTCGGGATTCCAACGCCACGGATCAACCTGACTGCTGTGTCTTGACGATCTTGAATCGTGCCAGAATACCATTGTGGGGATTTCAAAACCGCGAATCAACATAACCGTTGCACCCGCGTAATCCTGAATCATTCCAAAACACCATTCCTGATTCGTTGGTCCTGGGAATCCGTGGAACTCTTCCAACTTGTATGAACGAATGAACGCGGCACTAAGGCGAGAGCCACCTTTTGAAAAGGAACCGCCCTAAATCCGTGAAGCTCGTGCAATTGTTTAAAACGAGTGTGCGCGGCGCTGAGGCGAGAGCCTCATTTTGAAAACCACCCGCACTCAATGCGTGAAGCTCTTGCAAATGTCCAAAACGAATGTGCGCGGCGCTCAGATGAGAGCCACATTTTGAAAACCACCCGCGGCGCTGACGCGAGAGCCACATGTTGAAAACCACCCGCCCTCCATCTGTGAAACGGTTGCCACTCTTAAAGCTTCAAAACTATAAATGGTGAGGAAGTCTCAGGCGAAACGCCCGGCCCGCCCTAGAAATTGGCCTCGGGGTGCGACAGGGAGAGGTTATTTATATGGAAAAGGAATGGAGGACGGAATGGGGGCTCAAGGCAAGGAAGGATGAGGAGTCGGGAGATGCTGGGGAGGGAGAGACATGAGGAGCCAGAGGAGTGCGCAGGAGGCAGGAGCGAGTGAACGAAAAGCTGGAGAAGCAGGAGCCGCGCGAGCGGGGATGGAGCAGAGCGGGCGGGCGACGAGGACGAGGAGCCCCGAGTCGTGTGACGGAGGCTGGAAGATCACCGAGACCGAGCGCCTGCCGCCTGGCACCAACCGGGAGCTCATGGCGGCGCAGATCGTGGAGGCTTACGCCATGCTCGTCTTCGAGGCTCCCCCGGCCTGATTGTCACCACCCACCAACCCACCTCAACCCAATCCGAAGGCCCCGATTTGCCCCCCTTTCCAGTGGGGAGGGGGGTCGAGGAACACTGACAAAACACATATGGAACCCGTACGCCCCCCAACCCGAAACTCGGGTCTTCGGGTTGGGTTCGGGTGGTCTGGCAGGTAGTCAGATTGGCCCAGCCGGCGGCCCGCGGGCCAGTTTCCCCGAGCAGTGCTCGCAGCGACAGGTTCTTCGCTGCACTGGGGCAGCCAGGGTAAGTGCCCACGCGCGCCGTCGCGTGCCGGCCCTGCGCGCCGGCTCGCGTTTCTCAAGCAGTGGCGAAGCGTCCTGGTTGGCCCTATAGGCCCACCAGACAATGTTCTGGGAACCTTTTGTGGAGGTCACGAAATGTTCGGACATTTCTGGCTGGGGCTGTCCTCTTTTGACACATCGGGAACAGGTTCTAAGAACATTGTCTTTGTCCTTGGGACACTTCTGGGTTCTAGGAACATTTCGTGGTAGGCCTATAGGAATGCCGGGACGGTCGGTCCCTGCCCAAGTTTCAGGATACACGCGTTGCTTGCACGACACGGGCTGCACCATGCAGGATGCATTGACTGGCTGCCACCCGATGTTCTGCAGGACGTGGCTTGCACCGCATTGGTTTTCCATCCCGCAGATGATATCGCACAGCTTGCACTAAACATGTTGCACCACGCAGATTGCACCGCATCAAGTGCACCCCATAAAATCGGGTCAAGTAGAATGCACCCTCAAGTTTTCATCAAGCAGCTCGCTTTGAATCTGGAGCATTACAAGGGTTTGATTTTTATCCTCTCCCCAAACAAGCCGGGGTGATCCCCTCCCCTCCGCATCGCATGTTATAGCTATGTGTTTATGCATGCGTATATCTTTCGTATACCGGAAGCCTGGCCCCGGGGGCCCCGAGACTAGAGACCACCAGGCGTCCCCGGATCCTCCCCGGAGCCTTCCCCGAAGCGCCGGGACCCACAGTGGAAGTTCCGCACGCCCAGATGGTGTCCAAGACTGTTCCAGAAGGGCCCAAGATGGCTTCATCACGGCACAAGAGGTCCGCAAAACGCCCAAAGACGGCTCCAAGAGAACCCCCTCGAGGGCCCCGAGCGTCAAAAGTCATCTTATTCCCCAGGGAAGCGTATATGATTTGGCATGGTCACTGTTTGTCACTTCACCGTCCCAGGCGACCCAAGAGGCGCCCCAAGGGCGCCCCAAGGCAGGCGAAGAGACCCCCAAGCGGGCCCCAAGAAACCCGAGATGGCCCCAAGACGGCCCAAGCGGCGCCCAAGACGGCCCAGAAGCGCTTCAAAAAGGCCCAAAGGAGTCCCCCCGAACTCCCCCGAGCGGCCCTCCTATCGCCCTCGACGCCATGGCCCCCAGAGCATCCCGGCGGTCCCCAAGAGGCGCCCACAATCTCACCAGAAGCCGCCAAGAGGTCCACAATGGACGCCCAAGCGCCCCCCGCGAGTCCCCCGAGGGGTCCTCGCAGAGACCACATGACACTTCTTCAACGCCTCAAATCGGGGACACCTCCAGTCCAGAAGGTATACAATACAAAACTCTCCCCCTCACTTATCTTCACCCTCATTATATTTCCCCTCCTCCTGCCTCCTGCCCCTCTCGCCCACACCTCCCTCCTCTCCCCCTGCTGTTTGCCCCCTTCTCCCTCCCGCCTTCCTCCTCTCTCGCTCTCTTGCTCTCCCTTCCTCCATCCTCCTCCGTCTCCCTCCTCCCGTTCTCACTCCCCCTCCCTCTTTCCTCCCTCCATCTCCCTACTTCCTGCTTTCTACCTGTTTCTTTCTCTCTTGAATTCGACTGTGTTGCGAAGGTGAGGCTCCAGGGTGGCCCCCGGAGGCCCAAATGGCCCCGCAAAGAGATGCAGTTCTGCGGAAGGATTGCCCATGAATGCCGCGAGTACCCGGCTTCAATGCGATTTCAGACACCAGCGCGTGGGATTCCAAGCCAAGGGCCCGACCATCCGGACATGGCCCCTCTGACGCGCTATACGCTTGGCCCCGTGGCAAATAGAATTTGAGCGCGCACCAAGCGCGCGCTATGGTTCCATGTGCACACATATGTATAAACATACATATATATATACATACATACACACATACATACAAGACTGCATTAGCGCTTCGCGGCATTCACCTTGGTCCTTGAGGCTTTGCCTTTGTTGGTCGTTCGCACCATCCCTAGTGGCCTTGGAAATTTGACCCCTTCCTTGCGGTGGTTTTCAGAAGTCTCCGAAAGTTCGGGCGGTCCTTGACCCTTCCAGGGCCTCTGGGGACTCCCGAAAGACGCCGGGTGGAGGGCGAAGGATAGGAGGGAGGGAACCTCGGAGAGCGAGGAAAGGAATCGGATGTGGGGGAGGACGAGTGGTGGAGCGGCAAAAAGAGGAGGATGAGGAGGAGGAGGAGGAGGAGGAGGAGGAGGGCGCCGTCGGGGGACGGCGAAGAATGTTGCAGCGGGTTGCAGCGGATCGCACCAGGGCACGCGAACGCAAGTAATTCTTAGGGAATGCATCCAATCCCGGGTTCGCAACATATTTCCGGGATTTGTGGTTGCGAGCCCAGGATTCGGGTCAGTTTGGTGGAAAACGCCGTGTGGGCCTTGTTGGAGCCTTGGTGGGCCGGTTGGGAGCCGTCCTGGGGCCATCTTGGGCCGTGTTGGGGAGCTTGGGCCGTCTAGGGGCCTTACGGAGGCTACGTAGGCCCTCCTATTAGCCTCCCATGGCCTTTTGGGGGGCCTCCCATGGCCTTCTTGGGCTTTTCTTGGGGGCCTTGTGAAGGTAATTTGTGTCTCTTTTTTGCTCATTTGGGATTTCCTTGAGCAGTCTTGGGGCCGTCCAGGCCGTCCAGAGGCTCTCTTGGAGATTTCTTAGGCCGTCTTGGGGCGATGCAGGATGCCTTTTGGGCTGTTTTGTACACTGCTAAGACCCGAACAGCCAATGTGCTGAACATGCACGTTTCCCTTCGAAAATGATGCGATGTTTGCGTTCTTGGAGTCCTGTTGAGGGCCTCCTGGGCCGTCTTTGGGGCCTCTGGAGGCCTTCTGGGTCCTTCTGGAAGCGCTCTTGTGCTGTCTTGCGTCCTTATTCAGCCTCTCATCACCGCTCTGATCGTTTCGGGGCCTTGTGAGGTCCTGTTGGGCTCTTTTTGGCTCATTTGCTGATTTCTTGGGCAGTCTTGGGGCTATCCAGGCCGCCTAGAGTCTAGAGGCTCGATGCACGAGGCCTTTTTGGCTGTTTTGGACGCTGCTAAGACACGATCAGCGAATGTGCTGTAAATGCACGTTTCCCTTCGAACATGAAGCGATGTTTTTGCATTCTTGGAGTCCTGTTGAGGGCCTCCTGGGTCGCCTTGGGGGCCTCTGGAGGCCCTCTGGGTCCCTCTTGGAGCGTGTGCTGTCTTGCGTGTTTCTTCGGCCTCTCTGATCACCGCTCTGATCGCTTCGGGGCCTTGTGAGGGCGTGCTGGGCCTCTTTTTGGCTCATTTGCTGATTTCTCGGGCAGTCTTGGGGCAATCCAGGACACCTAGAGGCACTCTTTGGGGTCTCTTGGGCCGCCTTGGGGCGATACAGGAAGCCTTTGGGGCTGATTTGGACGCTGCTAGGACCCGAACAGCGAATGTTCTGAACATGCACGTTTCCCTCAGGGAATAAACGGATTTCTGCATTTTGGGAGCCCTGTTGAGAGCATCTTGGGCCGTCTTGGGGGCTTCTGGAGGCCATCTGGGTCTTTCTTGGAGCGCTCTTGTGCTGTCTTGGGTCTCTCTTCGGCCTCTCTGATCACCGCTCTGATCGCATGGGGCCTGCTGGCAGGACTCCGCTCAGCGCCCTGGAAGGTCCTGAACGAGCCGGGGCACTTTTTGGCACGGATGTCCAGGAGGCACAGAAACCCGCGATCTTGGGGGTCCAATGGGGGGGGTGACGGGGTTGTCCCACCCCTTCAGCTTGTAGAAGTAAAATAATGAATGTATGTCTGTATGTCTGTCTGTCTGTCTGTCTGTCTGTCTGTCTGTCTGTCTGTCTGTCTGTCTGTATGCATGCATGCATGCATGCATGCATGCATGCATGCATGCATATCTGTGTATGTATGTACGTATATATGTATGTGTGTATGTATGTATGTATGTATGTATGTACGTATGTATGTATGTATGTATGTATGCATGTATGCATGTATGCATGTATGCATGTATGCATGTATGCATGTATGTATATGTATGTATATGTATGTATATGTTTGTATGTATGTAATGTATGCATACATATATGTATGTACGTATGTAGGTATGTATGTGTGTGTATGTATGTATGTATGTATGTATGTATGGATGTATGGATGCATGCATGCATGCATGCATGCATGCATGCATGCATGTATGTATGTATGTATGTATGTATGGATGTATGCATGCATGCATGCATGTATGTATGTATGTATGTATGTATGTATGTATGCACAAAAACGGGGGGGTCCCTGTTGCCCAGAGTGCACTAATTTGTCTTCGGCCGTTTTGGACCCGGCGGGGGGCGCCAGAACGCGTCAGAGGAGGGGAAGGGGGGCGACGAGAGGGCCCGAGAGACGTCCAAGAGGTCGCCAAGATGGCCCAAGAGCGTTCCAAGAGAGCCCGAGACCGCACAAGAGCGTTTCAAGATTGGTGCAACATGGTTTGAAGACATTGACAGCCCAAGAGGGCCTCAAGACGGCCAAGATGCCCTCAAAAGGACTCCCACGAGACCCTCAGGAAGCGAAACAAGTATGTTCTGTTCAAGGGATTTTGAAGGTTTGTCGTGTTCTCGCTTTTTCGTTCTTCCGACGGTCCAAGACAGCCTACGAGGCCCCGTAACTCAGCACAAAACGGCCCAAGAGGCACTCAAATAGGGAGGAACGACGGCGCAAGAGAGCCCCAAGTCGGCCCAAGAGTGCCCCAAGACGGCTCAAGAGGCGCCCAAGATCGCCCAAGAGGGCCCCAAGACGGCCCCAAGAGTGGCCCAAGAGGGGGAACACGAACTGACAATTCGAGCCTTCGCCCCAAGAGGCCCCCAGGAGGGCCCAAGAAGCCCCCAAGAGAGCCAGAGAGGCCCCCTAGAGGCCCCCTAGAGTTAGGCCCTAGAGGCCAAACGATGCCCCAAAGAGGCGCAAAAAGAGGCCCCAAGAGCATCCCAAACGGCCCCCAAGAGGCTCCCAAAATTGCCTTCAAGATGCCCCCGGGAGGCCTCCCACGGATTCCGAACGAATTTCCAAGAGGCCTCTAACCCACAACCTAGGCAGGGTGGCGGGATGGGCCGAAGGCCACTAGATGGTCCAAGACGCCGAAGACGGCCTCGGCCCCCCAACAGAGCTCGAAAAGGCTTACAAATTGATGTTCCATGAATGTTTGAACAATTTTGGCGCTTCCGCCTGTTCCGCTTACCGACGCTGCAAAACGCCCCAAGAGGCTCCGAGGATCGCCCCAAGACGGCCCAATAGGCTTCAAAATCGCCCCAAGACGGCCCAATAATTTTTCAAAAACGCCGAAGAGACCTCCAAGACGGCCCGGGAGGGCCCCAACCGCGGCCCAGGATCGAGAACGTGAACCGAGAACCCGAGATCTTCGCCCCAGGAGACCCCAGGAGGCTTCAAGAGGCTCCCCAAGAAGCCTCAAAGAGGCCCCTAAAGAGCCATGTGAGAGGCCCCGAGGGCACTTGAGAACAACGGAAATCCCAACATTTCTGTTTCCTCCTCCTCCTCCTCCTCCTCCGGTTCCTCCTCCTCTCTGCGGCCTGCTCCACCCTCTCCAACTCGTCGTCCTCCTTCTCCCTCTCCCCCAGGGAACCTCTGCACCTCCCCTCCTCCTCCCTCCTCCTCTGGCCACGTCCGGCCGCGGCGAATCAAGGGGCCCCCGAAGTGCCTTGCGGGCTTGTCCTGGGCCGTCGCGGGCGGACCGTGGGAGGTCTCGGAAGCCACTTGTGCCGTCTTCGTGGTTCCTTGGCGGCCCCCGAGAAGATGTGTCATGTAACAGAGATCCCCAAGAGTTCGACCATCCAACTGAGCTAGAACTTGAGCGCGCGTGAAGCGCGCGATGCTTCTAGTACATACAACGAAGTGTGTGTGTATATATATATATATAGATTTAAACATCGGTATGTGTTTGTGTATATTTCTATTTACGCATCGCGCAGCCCTTCCCCCAGCAGCCACTGATATTTTCTTTTAGTTGACGATGTTCTTATCTCCGCTTTCTCTCCGTTCGTTCCCTTTTTCTCCACCTTCTCCTGTTCTTCCTGTCTTGTGCCCTCCTCCTTCTTAGCCTTCTCTCCCTGTTAGTTCCCTTCCTCCATTTCCTGCTACTTCGGACCCTCCTGCTGCTGCTGCTACTGCTGCTCCTCCCCCTCATATTTTATTTGAGCTCGTCTCCTCCACATCCTCCTCCTCCTCCACCTCCTCTTCCGCTGAGGCAGAGAGACAGAGAGAGAGGCTCGAGGGAGCAGCGATCCCTTTGACATTGCTAGGTTTGCGAAGTATGGGGGCGCAAGCCCTGCGATTTCACTGGGACCTCTTTTGGATTACTTATCATAACCCCAAATACATGTGTCCTTCCCATCCTAGGTGCGCTTCTTGTCTTCTCCGGACACCCCCGCGTAGGAACAGGAGCACCCCCACATCATCATCGCCTTCATCGTCACACCGTAATGATCAATCATCAATCATCACTACCATGATCCATCATGACCACCGGCCATCATCATCATCCTCATCACCATCATCACGGCCATCACCACACCATGTTCCGCACTCACCATCACCACATCAGCCTCATCACCACACAATGTTTTCACATTCAATTACACACTCACACAGTTATCTTGAGGAAGTCTCGGGCTGGAGCCCTGGCTGTGAGGAAATCGAGAGGAAGTCCCAAGCGGCAGGCCCCTCCCAATGGGGCCCAGTATGGAGGAAGCCTCGAGCGGGAACTGGAGCTGTGAGCGAATTGCGAGGAAA